TACTTCAAGTATGCTTGAATTCTATTGTATTATATTGTAAAATAAAACAAAATCCTCTATAATGCATAAATCGATAAGAAAATAACACTTTGATCTTTTAAGCATAGTAGAGTTTTTAAGCTCATTAATCAAATTAATCAAACTGTCAGTTGCAAAGTTTTCAGGATCGTATACTGTGGCGCAATGCATTTAATGCCGTGCAGGCAGAAACTATCTATTTATTGCTTGGTAATTACGTTCACGGAGGAAAATATTTAAAATTCATTTAAAAGTAAAATATATATACGATTATATCAATAAGACAGTGTGTCTGAAAGAATTGTCCTCTATTGGGATCATGTTCATGGGTATAAGCTCAAATCCCGAAAAAGCCATGACTGTTTCTATATTTTCTCGTCTCACACCTTTGTGCGTACATCAGTATATCTTTCTAGAAGAAACCTTACTAATTTTTTCATTGCTGAGATTCGAGGTTTGCGACAGTATGGTCATCTTCTGAAGAATAACTAATAGGCCAGAAACCACCCATTTAAAGAGAAAGGAGTGCTAAAAGAAAATACCTTTTACAGGTACCTGAAATATCCTCTTATTATTTTATGATAATTTTGGTGGTTAATGAAGTTCAGTATCACGGATTTAAGAAATCGCACTTTGTTTTCTTGATTTTCTACATTTTACTTCTCAGTCTAATTTTAACATCTGAAAATGCGAATAAATATCCTTATAAGTTCATAGTCTAATTTCATTTACTTGAGTAACCTTACTAAACTGCAAACGGCTATTTGATCTTTCGTAACCTAAACTTGTAACGCACCTGATAGCTAGAAACGTATATTAAAAAAATAGAACTTTTATTTTTACTTCAGCTTGAAGCTTAAAAAAGGCGAATAGAAAACTAATCTCCAGCTGCTTTCGGCCTTTCTAAATTCGATACTTATGAAGTGAAATATTAAAGAACCGGACTCCTAATGCTAACACGCCTACTCAGATCATTTCAATTACCGAATACATTCAACAACTAGTCAGTACATTACCAGAAAGGAAAAGACAACAGAATGCCATGGTCGAGTGTGTCAATGCTGTTCTTTAAATACAGTTGCTCGCTCATTATTTAAACCCACTTCATTTACATTTTTCTGCTGAAGTTGACGAAATAGTGAAAGTGCTGAAAGGTTCAACATAAAAATAATATTAAAAAGGTTCAACATAAAAGCAAACCTTATATCTTCAAGTTTTATTATTTCGAATAAATAGCAACACTCTTTTTTTATAAATGTTTCGGTTTTGATATCTCCCGTTCGTTTCTTAAATGTAGTTCCAACCTGGCAAAGACAATTTTAATTTTACTTCTAAACTGCGGGGTAGTCAACCTTCTTCGCATATCAATCAATTTTGAACTCTATTTATTCTCCTCAAGTTTTAAATATAGAAAGCCGAAATGTACTCACAAGTAAACCTTCTCTCATTTGATACCGGTTCGCCGGAAACCTATACATTTTTTGAAAGCTTATGTCACAAGAAGAAAAACTGTGCAATCTAAGGGGTAGAGGGGCAAACATTTAGGAGCTATAGGACCCTCAAAATATCAGTAAAATATGGCACTAAACGTTGCTAAAATGCTCGTTTCACGTATTTATATGAACTAATATATGGTAAGAAAGTTGAGATCTCAACATAAAAGGAAAACATGAAAAGAAAAAATATACGTTGGATTGTTGAAAATGCGACTTGTTATGACTTCAAACAAAATTTATTACAAGAGATTATCAATGTGCAGTTCATCAAATGAACCTTGAGATGGGCAGAAAGACAGTTAACATTGGACACATTTTACAAAAGGGATAGCCTCACACTTTGCACACTCATCATTTGTCAATGAATCGAAGCAGTAACCCATTGTCGCAATCCACATTCCAGGTTCGTCGTTTAAGTATCCGCCCTTATAAAAAGAATACATAATGAAGTTTTTGAAACGATGAGCGCTGAGCTGATATAGTGAAAAGTCTGCAAGGCCAAAAACCTATCGTGATGCCAGATGTGCTCCTATATCTCGATAATGATTGTGTCCATTATGCAAGCGAGCAAAAGATTTGTAGTGTCTGAAGAAAGGAATATCCAGGAACTGGATCTTTCCCCCGTATATTCTTTAGGTACCTATTATTTTTATACATCTTTACCACTAGGTCATTCGGAAGCAGACAATTCATGAACATACAAGAAACAGAGACGTCAATACGGGAACATGTCCATCTATACACACTTTAATGATACCTTAGATCCTATAGATCCTAAGCGCTTGTCCCTCTGCCCCTAAGACTTCACAGTTTTTCTAATTGTGACATAAGCTTTCAAAAAATATATATGGGTTCTCGGAAAACCGGTATCAAAGGAAAGAAGTTTACTTGTTAGACATTTGTAGCTTGAATACTGACTCAGATATGTTATGTTATTATGTTATGTTATGTTATGTAGAAGTGAGGGGGCCACCTAATATTTACCCAAAGTAAGCAGGTATTAGCCCCACACACTAACTAGAAACCTGTAGCGGCAATGCCAGCGAACTATTAAAAATAACATTACCCTTTTTGTGAATGGCATCACTTACGTTTTTGTATTTATAAATGTCTTTTGCTTGTTCTATACTTCATGTTTATGTTAGGAAATAAATAAGTATAAAATACTATCTCCTAAAATCTGGTGCCGAAAAAAACCATTTACGAAACAGGACTTTGAACTTATACTTCCTACTGTTGGATTATTTTTGCTGAATTATTTTACTTCCGACATTAAAACTTAGTTTTTGTTTTTGTGTTCTTTTCTACTACTCGGACAATGGCGCCGACCGGTGAAGCTGTAGACAAAATGACACAACTGAAACGAAAGCGGAAAGCCGTGCGAAGTAATGTTTCTTGCTTTTCTACTGAAATTGATACTTTGAACGATGATTTCTCAATTGAGAAAGTTGAATATATTTGTAATCGCTTAACAATTGCTTTAAATGATATGAAACTAATAGATAACGAAATTCACAACTTCCTTTCTGACGATGAATATGAAAGTGATAATTTGCAGTGTGAAAACTACATAGATACTGGTGAATCCGCGATTTTCAAAGCACGAAAAATTATTCAAAATAAATTATCGCCAACTGCAAATAATGTTACTGCTTCGAATATGGATACCAATGATTTAGCGATGACATTTGGCGACCCTCCTACTACAGTGCCTATGACTCAACCATATACAGTTAAATTGCCAACAATTAAATCAGTCATTTACAGGAGAAATTGAACAGTGGCAATGTTTTTGGGAACAGTTTAAATCTTCTATAGATGCCAATCCACATCTCTTTCTGTTATTGATAAACATGTTTTCCTCAGAGGTTATTTAGATGGTGAAGCTAAACGCCTTGTTTATGGAATTAGTGTAATAGGAGACACCTATGAAACAACAAAAAATTGTTGGAGGAAAGATATGAAATAAAGATCGAAGTATCCAATCACACTTAGATTACTTAGAACATTTAAATGTTATTCAAGACCCATCTCCTACGCATCTAAATGATCTTTACATAGAATGTAACAGAAGAATTCAAGCTTTAACTGCTCTGGGTGAAAATATTGAAGCATACGGTAGAATCCTAGTGCCAAAAATTATTCGTGCATTCCCCAATGATATTTGTTGCCGCTGGATTATCTATGCCAAGCGTGAAAAACTAAACGAAGGTAATATTACTAGATTGATGCAGTTCTTGGCAGAAGAAGTGGAAGGTGTAGTTGCAGCACAAAGAGTTAAAGGTACGTCTTTTTCTGATCACACCGTAAAGTGCACTGTAGAAAATTTTAATATCAATTCCAAAACAGTAAACAAACGTAAGAAAATTTCACCATTTTGTTCATTTTGTGATATACTACAGGACATTGGCCTCAATATTGTGAAACTGTTACAGACTATGATACTCGTGTTCAGAAACTTAAAACTTCAAATCGCTGCTTTCTGTGTACTAACCGTGGTCATAGAGTTTCAAACTGCCCAAGAAAAAATACTGCACGGTGCACTAAATGCAAGAAAAGGCATCATGTTTCTATTTGTCCTCCTGTTGAAAACAATCAACTGCGGATAACTAACAGTGCTGTAAATCACATAACCTTTCCTAAAACAATTTTCACACATTTGCAAAACTGCTCGTGTGTATGTTACTGGCCCCACAGGCATTACTAAATTAACACGTTGCATTTTAGATGGTGGTAGCCAAGCAAGTTTTGTTCACACAAACCTCATTGAAAAACTTAAGCTTAAAGTTGTCAGTTCTGCCTCACTTTCAGTTCAAGCATTTGAATCTTTTACTTCACAAGAACAACGTAGATGTGTTCAACTGTCACTTTCAAGTTTGTGGAGCAACCAAGCATTTTTGATCTCCGCATTTGAAAGCTCCAATTCCTATACTACACATCCTACTGCTCCACCAGAAATAGTTCACTTTGCTCAGAAGAAAAGATTGAGAATTGCTGATCCACCGGATGACTCTTCACTGCCCATAGAAATACTTATTGGTGGTGATCATTATTGGCAAATTGTTTCCGCAGAAGAAGCTCCAATCAAGCTTTCAGAATCTTTTGTTATGGTACCGTCAGTGTTTGGATGGGTTCTTAGTGGAACAAGAACACATACTACAATCGCTGAGAAGACTTCTGTCCATCAAGTTTGTGTGCAAGTTAAAACTGATTGTTTAAATGATCAGGTACGTCGCTTCTGGGAATTAGACTCCATAGGGATACAAGATGCGCAGAAACGAAAAATGACTACTCGAGATGAAGAAATTTTATCAGAATTTCACAAAACTTACAACACTGAAGACAATCGAAGAATTGTGTCTCTGCCTAGAAAACCATTGGTCACACCTTTGCCTACAAACAAAATTATAGTGGAAAACAGATTGCATTCTCTTTAAAAAAAGACTTGCATCTAGTGATGTGTTAAAGACATAATATGACAAATGCATGCTGAATTACATTGAACAAAAGCATGTTGAAGTTTGTTCCATAGATGAATCCAATGAGAAGCCAGTATATTACCTTCCTCATCATGCTGTAAGAAAGAAAACACAATCTGAAACCAAGTGGAGAATTGTGTTTGATGCTTCCTCGCATGCTCCAGGAATGATTTCACTGAACGATACCTTGGAAGCTGGCCCGAATCTTCTTCCTGAATCTATTGGTTGTCTACTAAGATTTCGATTGCATGAATTCGCTGTTACATGTGATGGTAAGCAAGCTTTTTTACAGTTGTCACTACATAAAGAAGATAGGGGACGTCACAAAATTTTTCTGGTACAAATTAAAATCTGATTCATCTCAACCTACTACTTTTACAGATGAAATAACTGTTTACAGATTTACTCGTTTACCATTTGGCCTTACTTGCAGTCCGTTTTTACTCTGTGCTGCGACACGAGAATTGGCTGCAAAACATATCGCAGAATTTCCAATTGCTGCACCAATGATAGATAAACATCTCTATATGGATGACTTTCTTGCTAGTATGGAAACTGAATCACGCATTATAATGCTATATCACGAGATCAAGAATTTAATGGCTCTAATAAAATTGCCTATGGAAAAATGGGCTACAAACTCTTTGAAACTCAAAGATGTACTACAAACACATGAAGAATCTCACAAAACGGAAACAACTGTCTTAGGTATTGGCTGGAATACAACTTCTGATACTTTGAAGCATGCATTCAAGACTTCCCTCTGTGTTTCTACAGACAAACCACTTACAAAGAGATGGTTACTCCGCTGCATTGCTAGTTTTTATGATCCCTTAGGCCTTTTTTCACCGTTTACTATTCTTGGGAAAATCTTATTCCAAGATACATGGATTCTTGGAATCAAGTGGGATGAATTACTACCTGCTAATTTATCAACTTTATGGTATGCAGCTGTGAAAGAACTTGATGACATTTGCTCCCTTCAAATTCCTCGATGCATAGGCATTTCATCACATGTTCCTTTTGCTATTCATGTGTTTTGTGACGCATCTGAACGTGCCTATGGTTCAGTTCTGTACATTGTTACCTTTAAAGGTGACCAATCGAATGTGAATTTTAGTGTGTAGTCGCAACAAACTAGCTCCTATAAAGAAAGTTACCTTACCTCGTTTGGAGCTCTTGGCGGCCCTGATGGGAGCACGATTGTTGCAATATTTCTGTGCTGAAATAAACATCTGTTCATCGAATGCAACATTGTGGAGTGATTCTCAAGTTGTCTTAGGGTGGATACACAGTGACCCAACAAGTGGAAAACTTTTATTAGCAACAGAGTAACTGAAATCATTTCCTATACTAATCCTTCACAATGGAGACATTGCCCTGGCAAAGACAATCCAGCTGACAAACTTTCTCGAGGTGTTTCACCATCAACACTAAAAAACCTGGAAATTTGGTGGAACGGCCCTCCATGGTTAGTCAAATCTCTAGAATATTGGCCTCATTCTGATACTATTTCTAAAGATTACAGTCATAACTTCGAGGCAAAGAAAGAAAAAGTTCAGACCCTTCACATCGTATCTACTCAACCAATCATAAAGGCTGGAAACTACAGTTCTTACGTTCGATTGTTACGTGTAACATCTTGGATTCTTCGCTTTATTCACAACTGTAGGAAACAAGAAAAGTTAGTGGGTGAGTTACATGCCACAGAACTGAATCAAGCTCGTATTTATTGGATACAGACCGTTCAGAAAGAATCCTTTCCTTCAGAATATGAAGCTCTGTTGACAGGAAAATCACTCCCTCCTAAGAAATCAAGGATAAAACAATTTAACCCTTTCTTCAAGAACAATATTATACTTCTTGGTGGTCGACTACAATTTTCTGATTTATCTCATGCTGAAAAACATCCCATATTATTGGAAGGTTCTCATCATTTTACAAGCCTACTGATACGCCAAACACATTTACGAATGCATCATCTCGGTGTTCGGATTGTACTTTCTCAGCTTCGTTCAGAATATTGGATATTAAGAGCAAGACAAGCCATTAAAAAGGTGATAAAGACTTGCCTTCCATGTAAAGTACTGAAACAAAAGAGAAGTGAACAGATAGAAGCTCCACTTACCAGCTGAGCGAATTCAAAAGTCATCTCCTTTCGAAACTACCGGAATTGATTTTGCTGGACCACTCTACGTAAAAAATAATAACTCCGTTACAAAAGCTTACATTGTCATCTTCACATGTGCTACAACTCGAGCTATCCACTTAGAATTAGTTTCCGATCTGCGTACTGACGTCTTCCTACTTGCATTACAACGTTTTGTCTCTAGACGTTCACTTCCTCATACAGTGTACACTGATAATGCCACAACTTCTTCTGCTGCGGACAAAGAGCTGAAATTATTGTGGGATACTATATCCTCTGCCAAGGCACAACAGTTTTATGCCCACCACAACATCAAATGGAAATTCATCGCCCCCCGAGCGGTTTGGTGGGGAGGATGGTGGAAAAGAATGATAGGCTCAATTAAGCGATGCCTTCGGAAAACATTAGGTAAGGCTCTTTTGGATGACGCTGGTTTGATCACTGTATTATGTGATATTGAAGCCGCTCTTAACAGTAGACCGATTGTCCACGAATATGGAATAAAAGATGACTCTGAGGAAGCTTTAACACCCTCGCACTTCCTCATAGGAAAGAAATTAACTACTATTCCTTCCAGCCCCACAAATCCTGAAACAAATTTAAATCGTATGTGGAAGAATCGTCAACATTTGATGGACTCCTTTTGGAAAAGATGGCAAAAGGAATATTTGATGGACTTGCGTACATTTCATCAAGTGCGGAATCCATCTGAAACAAATAAAATACGGAAAGGGGACATTGTCCTACTACAAGAAGATGTTAGACCTCGCCACACCTGGAAAAAGGCTCGTGTTGAGGAGCTAATCCTTGGCCGCGACAAAAAGTCCGTACTTGTGTGCGCACCAATGGCAAACCACATGGACCCATACCATTGTACGCCCTGACCTTCGTGACTACATCACATATCCTGTGAATAGACTGTTCACGGACTATTACTGCAACAAGGGCATCTTAGAGATAATGAAGCAAGTGAATGAAAATAATTATATCCAAGAAACTACAGATTAAAGTAAAATGTAGAAAGGCAGCCTAACCGTCAGGTTTCTAGCAATGACTAGGATGACTTCCTAACCCTGTAGTGCCATTAACTCAATTTGGTGGAACAGGTTAAGTAAAGTGACCATACCATTACCCGACCTGTGCAGCTGGTCATCCCCCTGGAGGTTGACCAGGATGGGGAGGATGTTGCGGCAAAGCCAGCGAATTATTAAAAATAACATTACCCTTTTTGTGAATGGCATCACTTACGTTCTTGTATTTATAAATATGTTTTGTTTGTTCTATACTTCATGTTTATGTTAGGAAATAAATAAGTATAAAATACTATCTCCTAATAAAAACTAACAACTTTTGGCATCACTCCTCGAGTCGTGAACTGACTCACATATGCAGCCGTTCCTCAACAACACTAAAAGGCATCCTTAATCAATGGCGATTTTAATATTTATACTTTTGACTTCTCGATAGACTAAAGAGCTATATGTTCAGTAGAAAAGATCCTGTTTGAATAGTATTGTTGCTGTTATAACGCTAATTATTTGTTATTGTTCGTACGTATCAAAATAATTGTCCTAATTATAGGTGAATTTTAGAGAGTCCCGATGGTCTAAGTTAATAGGTGCTAGTGGTTATAAATCTACGTGTATTAGCACCATTTGAGTTTTTGACAAATATATTCAATTACAATTACATTATTTATGCATTACTGCTTGTAACGTAGCACGTCATACTGGATATAAAATCGCAAGTCCTCACATGATTTCCCTAGTATTTTCAAATTCAGATAACGAATGATGTGAAACTAAATCGTTTATTAAAAGGTGAACTCTCAAATCAATATTTTGCAAATTTTAAGTGCAGTGACATACAGCATTTAATTCGCTTCCTTAAATAATATATATATATATATATATATATATAATATATATATATATAATATACAATATTTCAGTCATTCAGATTTCGAGGAGCATATCATCTTCTCCAAATGTCATTTGTAAAATGTATTTAACTCCTGAAGGATGTTATTACTTTCATTCTAGAGTTTATATGAAATCTTACCTAATTAAAATTTGCATATTTTCATAATGAAAAGAACTCTATTGTAAAAAAATCTCTGAATCATGCTCATTACACATGTATTGCACTGCATGTAAAATTATACTTTCTTGCTCATCATAAAAATTCATAAAAACATGAGTGTGTTTGACTTAATTGTGCTTCTTGTATACCAAAGGTGTTTAATATGTTGATGATGTATATTAATAGTATTAGTATATAGTGTATTTTTAATGCGAAATAGGAACTAACATATAACATACATTAAAATACTTGTGTTACGGAATCAGCCCGAATTCATGAATGTTACTAAAATGAATAAGGACACTATACAATATAGTAAGAACTACTAAGATGAATAAGAACTATATACATCTCCTTCATATAAGCGTCATCGCTACAACACTTTATATAAAAATTAAACATGTTGAAACAAGAAAATGAAAAAAAGAGGGAGTTGGAGCAATCCAATACTCCAAAAAAAGCATGTAATTCGAGTATATGCAACTATAAATGTATGATATGAATCACAAACAACATACTAATTAAGCCTTCATGAATATAAAACAGAACGCATATCGAAATGTGAAAAATGACTTACTCCGTAAAGTTATATAAATAATATATATGCAAGATTTTTGTCCCTTTTATTACACTCAGATGCAATAATGAACACTGTAGAGTTTTAATGATTGGGGAAAAAAATGCCTTTTGGGGGGGTCTGTGAAAAGTAAGGTGAAGGAAATGTTTTACCATGCAAGCGGTTTGGTAAGCTAAAGGAATCATATAAGAAAATAGTTTATTAGTTGTTCACCAGTGGTGTAGCTGAATAAAATAGAATTCTACATTTACCTATCAGTACATCTCGTAATGATTCAGCTAATTCAGAAGATATCTTTGTTTGTTAAGAAACTAAAACTGTAGTTAATTACAAGTAAAGAAAATAACTATAAAATTCGTAAATTTACTAAAACCAAAAAAAAAATTTTTTTTTGTTCGATTTAAAATGGAAGTCATCATATCTTCTTTAAAAATATCTTTTTATCAAAATAACTTAGTTTAGTTTAGTGCGTTGCAGCAATACATAGTTTGAATTTACTGAAAAAGGATGCATTCTGTTCACTTTAATTAAAAAATCGGATGCGTATATCACATGACTTCATTGTACGAAATATTAAATTAGACGTATTTTTTCCTGCATTTCATTTAAACTTATAGCGTGTGATTTTCTGCAAATATTTTTGTCCATGTGCGGCCATTCTCGACGTATTCTAAGAATGTTTTTAATACAAATTTGACATTCTTTACAATGGCACCTCCTGTGCAAGAGAAAGAAGGCTTTGTAACGAGTGGCTACTACAGTTGATCTAACTACTCTAATCCCTTAGAGACATTTTATAACAGATGTTGCAATAAAACTGTCCTTTTGGATTTTGAAAGCTAAAAAAGGTGGAGGGGTTGTTTACAGCGAGGAATGAATGTGTAAGTCAATTACGTTGTTCATATTATCGGTAGCAAGATCTCATTAAGATGTCGAGTAAGGTAGCTGGAAGTAGAAAAATAAGAAAAGCTTAAAGTGTAAAAACTTCTTGTGAGTTAATTTAAGTCGTTGTTTAATTTGCTAAATTTGCCTTTTTAGCAAGTCTTGATTTTGAGAAATACCCGTAGAATATTTTATAGCCTTTTTGATAATAATCGTAAAAAAAATGAAAATACCTTTGAAAAGGAGATTTTGGGTATGTTTAATTTTTAATGAATGACAACTTATTTTCTTTAAATAAACGCGTAAAATTTTTACTTTGATTTGGCTGAGCTATATTTATGAAACAATTCGTCTAAAAGACCTGTCTAATTTGGTTCTAAATTTGTAACAATTTTATAAACTGGCGAATAGCTTCTAATTTGAAATCTAAAATTTAACTTTGAGATTTAAACAACAAACATTAAAGGCAACATAAAATTTATGCGCTAAGAAAACCATTAAATAAGATAAATAAAACAATGAAATACCCTATTAAGAGTTTCAGAATGAAATTACAATCAATATTGGGACATTCTGATATTATATTTCTAAATGTATTTCTAAATGTACTGGCTTCCCAACATCTAAAGGATCCAATAGGCGAACTGAAACAGTAATTAATCTATTGAAGCTTGTAGTGTTGCGTGGCCCCAACTTGTCAGCAACTATGGTAGTGACTGCTATGAACTGTAAATTACACAAACTCGTAAGAAGGGTTTAAATCCCTTTTTATTCCACTTTAGAAATAACAGCTGCGTTCACTTGACGCTCACAAACTACGTCAACCCGGCGGTTTAACAAAAACAGAACTGTGAAACTAAAAATTAATGACAGGATGAATAAACAACTAGATCACTACCTACGAGGCTCTGAAATCGTAACTAACTTAACCGCGTTTTAAAATACAGCTGAGATTCAGCGAGCTTACTGATTAAGCAGTTGAAATAGTCAGCAAACTGCCGAGATAGACACACAGGCCGAAACGCGCGGTTCTTAAATTTCTACCTAGCAACCTTCACGTTAGCGATTCAAGAAGCACACACATAATCTCGTTTCCCTTCTAATTTAAACTCAATTTACTTCTGCTAAAATTTGAATATACTGCGCGTTCTACTACAATTTACATACTCTGGCTTTGGCAATTCTAGGGGAAAGTAAAGGCTTGACAGGAAAGATAGCTTAAAATAAATGTTAGTTAAAATAAATATAAACCCTACAAGCTAAGTCTTTGAAGAGTGGTAATTCGACTGGGGTGGTAGTGGGCGTATTTGGTGTTTTTCCTTTGTGTAACGTGGATAAAAGCCAGGTTCCTTTAAAAAAGTTCCATAAAGGCATGCCTCCTCTTAGGTAGACGACCCTCGTGTGCTTTATTATAATCAAATAAAACAAACCAAGCCTAACTTCTGTACCTGAACTTAAATTTAAGATTTTTTTAAAATTACCTTGATTAATATTTCAAACAAACTTTAAATTAAACATATTACGCTTAATAGCAATTCAGTAATTTAATGTTGCACTTTGAGTTTTCAAGTTAAATGTACCAAACTTATTTATTCTAAAAAAATTGCCTCTTCAGCATTGGCCAATGGCATTAACCACTGGCCTCAGAAGTAGTGGCCATTTTACTGTAGCGACACCTAATAAGCGGCCATCATTGCCTCCTATGAAAAGACAGACAGTTACAACTATACCTTCCCACGGATTTGAAACCCTCCCCTTAGGTATAGCAGCTGGCTCTCATATTTACTATACCGTCTCTAGGCGGCTACTCTAAAAATAAAAACTGAAACAGTTATTTTATATTCTTAATTAACTAAATTTAATTTTTCTACTATTTTTCCCTGCTAGACGTTTGTAGCAAATATTTATCTAATCTAGAAATCTGTACAGTTCTGGGTTACGCATAAGTTATGTGAAATATTGCCTTAACATATGCTTCCGGATCATAGAAAGAATCTGAACTCTGGAGGAATTTCTTGACGTTTGTGAGAAGTTGTTATTGATCTTTTACTATCAGTGAAATTTGTTCGACTTTCTACTGCCGCTTACCGAAGACCTACACAAGTACCTATTCTCAAACCTTTTATATGCTCATCTCTTTGACTGCAACTCATTTCTGAAAACTTGTACCTTCAAAATGACAATGCAACACCCTATAGCTCTAGTGCTATTGTTGAATGGTTTGAGAAAGACTCCGTAGACATAAAGATATATGTCTCGTCAACTCGTTCGAATACCGAATTCTAACGAAAGGCATCTCACCGAAGCAGTCACTTAGATTAGGTTATATACGTAGATCTCAAT